GTGGGGCTCTCTGCTCCACAGCAGAGCTGGTTCCTTCCCTCTGCTCCCTGGAGCTTTGGCAGAGACTCTAGGCGCTTGCCTGGCTTCCTCCATCCCTCCTCCCCTTCCCTCATCTCTCCCTGCTAAGCAGGGATTCCCCACTCCCCTCTGCCTTACACAGACACCTCTCAGCATTAGCTAGCAGACCACATGCTGGCTATGGTCTGTCCTGTGACAGACAGGACAAAGGTAGACAGGACTGTGTCCACTAGGGCTATCTGGAGCTAATCAACACATAGCTGGTAATGTCCCTCCATTCCTTCTTTGGAACAAGTTGTTTAAGAAGGGCTTGAACTAATGAGAGAGGCTTCTGATGGAGTGATAAATTCTGATAACAGAGCTGATAAATGTTCTGTTATCAAGGAGGGAGGGGAAACCCTCCCTAATCAGAGTGTCCTGCTGGGGCCTGGCCACACACCCCTCAGCTTAGAAGGGAAGGGAGGGCTGCTGTAGCACCCACAGCTTCTAGCCTGAGCCACTGCAGGCATGTGCCTACATTTCCGGGATGTCTGTATGATTATAAACTGGGTTAGCTTAGCCAGGTTAGACTAACCTGCAAAGACTGAATCAATTCAGGCTCAGGCTTTTTGAATGTCTGTCCCTACCCTTATAGAATACAGCTGCTTGCAGACATAAAAAACCCACAAACAAACAAACAAGCAAAAAACACTCTTTACTAGAAGAAGCAGTGCATTACTTCACCCTGGTTCTGTAGCGTCTGTATAGCTCAGACACTTCATCAAGTCTTTTTGGCACTTTTGCTAAAGCTAATTCAATCAGCTATTAGATAAAAGCACCAAAAGCATGCACCCTGGGAGGTAATGGGGGCATGTGCCCCTAGGTATGTGTACAGCGCAGGGCGGGCTGGCCCAGCAGTGGAGGAGGGAGTGGGACTGGGGCAGGGGCAGGAGCAGGGACTGCCTCACTGGGGTGGGGTGCAGGACTAAGCTGCACAGGGGGTGGCTCCCGCAGCTACGCACACCCCTGGGAGGGCATGGAGCCATGTGCCTCCAGATCTGTGTTGGGGAGGGTGGGCTGCCACTGCCAGCTGGGGTTGGCGCCAAGCTCTTCCTGGCAGGGGCTGGGCCATGCTACACTTGGGGTGGGTGGCAGTGGCACTGGGAGGGGCCTATGGGGGGTCTACAGTGAATTCTGGAGTGGGTGCAGTCCCCCTGTAGCCCCTGCCCAGTGCTGCTGCCTCCCACCATGAGTGCAGCCCAGCCCAGCCCAGCCCCTGCAGGGAAGAGCCCGGCACAGCTTCAGCCCCAGTGCACAGCGGTATCCCACCCTGCCCTGTGCAGATCCAGGGACACATGCCCCTGTGCCCTCCTGGGGTATACCTAGCGGCAGGAGACACCCCCTCCTTCCACCCCCCAGACAAGCTGTGGCTCTGTCCCATACTCTGCCCTGGTACCCGACACTACACACACCCCTGGGAGGGCATGGGGGGGTGTGTGCCCCTGGACCTGCACATGGGGCGAGGCGGGTTGCTGCTGCAGGTGAGGCTGGTGCCAAGCTGTTCCCAGTGGGGGCTGGTCTGCACTGAGCTGGAGGCAGGTGGTGGTGATGCTGGGAGGGGGCTATTGGGGGAGTTGCTATGGCAAATTTTGGGGTGCCTGCAGCCCCTCCTTTAGCTCCCTCTCACCTCTGCTACCCCATGCCCAGAGTGCAGCTTGGCCCAGCCCCCGCTGGGAAGAGCCCAGTGCAGACCCGACCCCAGCCCACAGTGGCATCCCACCCTGCCCTGTGCCCTCTTGGGGTGTACACAGGGGTGGGAGCCACCCCGCACGCAGCTCAGTCTGGCGCCCCACCCCAGCTGGGCAGTCCCTGCCCCTGCTCTAGCCCTACTCCCTCCTCCACCGCTGGGGCCTTGATCTGCCCTCTCCCCACTCCCCTGGCCCCTTCCCTTTCAACATATTACCAGCCAGACTCAGCTGCTGTTATGACTGCCTGTGTGCTGTGCTGCAGCTTTGCGCATGCATGCAGCATTTATGAGCCAGATCAGGTCTGTATACCCCCTAGGACCATTTTAAATATCCTTAGGGATATGCATAGTCCCCGGTTGACAACCGTTGTATTAAAGCATCATGTACAAAACCATGCAATTATGCTAATGCACAGTAAAATAGGTTACTGCGCATTAAGCCTAACTTAAAAAATGTGAGCTTTCAGTACTGCACATTAGGGCAGCCTAATGCACATTTTGGAGGTCCTAAACTTAATGCACATTAGGAAAAACTCATTAATGCATGTATAGATACGTCTTGTGTATCTAGTTAATCTATAAGGGTGCATATCTATCTAGCCTTCAAAGTGGATGAGATCTGTTTCTGTTACTAAGGAATCTAGGTTCTGTTTTCAGCTTTGCCCATAAGTAACTTTGTGAAAAGTCATAGATATGTGAAATGATATTCCCTGTCTTATACATACCTTCCAACCTAGTTCTGGCTTCTAATTAGAATTGTGGATGCCAAAGAAATGTTAACTGCTATTAATGGAAGATCTGGAACTAGAATCTATCTAGGCTTCTGGGTTTGTGGTTTAATATGCCTTCCCAGAATGTAGATAATTATCAGGGATGCTTTTTTTGGTTCTTTCTCAAAATTGTTTAAAGGCTACACTTTTCATGCCAACATGAGACTACCTGTACCAGGCACCACAAAACTGTGATAAATTTGTAATGATTAGCAACACCAGGCCTTGTAGTCAGAAATCCATCTGATTTCTTGCTAACTTTAGTAATAATAATGTTTTGGATGCACGTGTAGATACATTCCCAGGGCTGGATTACTACACAGTAAATTACATATATAGCATTAATTGCACATGTAGACACACCCTCTGACCCCTGTTTTTCTTCTGCAGGGTAGACAGCTTCTTCACTATCTGTAGCTATGGGATATTCCGTGTCATAGGACTGACATCAGGGCTGTGGCAAGTGGTCTGTGTTTAGGTTCTGGCTCCAGGGACTGCAGGGGCTTTTAATGCTTCAGATGCCAGTTGATCTTCAGATGTATGATTCCTGGGAATCAAATGGTTTTTCACAAGGTGATCTCAATATCAGGGGAAATTCTATTCCCACAGCATCCACTACTGGACTTCCCCCCCTCACTTCACTTCATTTACTCCCCAGTGAGTCCTGCCTACCTCCTGCTGTAACCTGTTCACTGAAGCAGAAAACTAGAGAAGGGAGATCATTTAGCTAAGCCAGGAATTGTGATGGAGCTGATGATCATATGAAGAGTGCGAGCCCCAGTAACAAGGAATGCATGTGGGGTACATCCATGGTGGCTGCTGGGGATCAGTGAATGGTGAGCTGTTCACGTCTCTTCTTGAGTCAAAAAGGTAGAAACAACAGCTGTGAGAAGCTAGGCCACTTTCTGGATAAAGAGGGGTAGACAAGTAACTACATATAGACGTTGGTATCCTGGATGTTATAAGGGTTAATGGGAATTGTCTCCTTTTACTTCTGTCTCTGCAGACAGTCTGATGAGGTAGAGCACTGCATCAGTGACATACTTGACTCTCCTACGCCAGACTCACCAACTGTACTTAACACTGCTGTTCACCACAAGGTACGGTGTTGCATCTTCTTTTTCCAGGATAAGAATATGACTTGATCAGCTGAGGAACAGGGAGAGAGTCAGGGAATGTGCATCTTGGATTGACAGTTGGGCATGTGCAGGTGTTGAGGGTACACGTGTGCCCCTGTTACTGTCCTAAAATTTGGCAATCTAAGTTTTATAACACAGCAGAAAAGACCATTGTCTTGGTTCATCAGAAAAAGATAAATGCTCCATAGGGACCAGTATACCACATCATACCAGGTCAAATTGCAAGGTGACAGCCGTGTTCTTGGCATGCTATTTTTTACTGCATCATCAGAAGTGAGAGGGATTCCATCCTGACTTCAGCAGCAGAATAGTTTTTGCCCTGAAGCAAGAGAACTGACCTTTGTCATGGCCAGTGCCACCACAGATGCCATGCTTGGTCAAGTGACCTGAAGAAGATTGCTTTGCATTCAAAAGCTTGTCAACTCTATCCCAAGTATGCAGTTGTTCCCATAAAAGATATCACCCTAAGGGTGCATCTACACATGTGCTTTAATGCTCAGTAGACTATTTTACTGTGCATTGAAGTGTGACATAAAAAACTGTGACGTTATGCTAATGTGCAATAAAATAGTCCACTGCACATTAAGTGTCACTAAAAAAGTGTACAAATGCACTGCAGTAGCGTAGCTTATTGTGCATTGATTTAGTACCTCACATTGGCAGTATTAAATTTAATGTGCATTAGAAAAGTCGCATTAATGCACATGTACATGTGCCCTAAGACATTCTTCCCTCTTTTATTCTCACTCATAAAAATTGTGGATACCTTTCCATGTTGTCGTTTTCTCTTCACAGCCTGCAGACTTGTTTGAAATGATTGAAAAAATGCAGGTAAGGAGCAGTTATTCCAACAGACTCGGGGTTCCTGCTTTGGGGGTTTCTTCATTTCTGGTAACGAGCAGTAACCAAACTGTCAGTTCCTATTCTAGTTCTGCCCTCCACACGCAGCTTCACAAATGTCCTTCAATCCTAACCTGCAGTACACTCTGTTCTCCACATCCTGGGCTATCATGTTATCTCTTGGCTCTTCTTGGTTCCCACTGACCCCCTGACACCATGTCTTTAGAGCATTGGTGGGCAATTATTTGGGCTCGGGGGCCACAAAGGGAGTTTTGATGAGTTGTTCCAGGCCAGATCTGCACCCCTCCCCCCTCCCCTGCTGCAGCAACTCACCAAAACTCCCTATGTGGGATGGGGCCAGGGGCAGGCAGGGAGCAGTGTTCAAGAGTGGGATAGGCGGGCAAGGCTGGGATCATGGCGTGGGGTTGCGGAGCAGTGACAGCATGGGACCGGGGCCCGGGGCAGAGCTGTGATTCACCCCCTGCACACCCCTGCCCTGTGGAGGAAAGTGTGGGAGGGTATGTGGTATGTGTGGGAGGGTGAGTGTGGGTGGGCATGGGGTGGGCATATGTGAGTGTGTGGAGGGGGCTGCCTGGGTGCTAGGTCCGAGGAGGTGGCCAGGGGTGAGGGGAGGGAGGAGGGGACAGAGGTCATGTGCAGCAGAGCTCATCCAGGTGGTTCAGTCCATGGCCACCCCCTCAGCGCTTCACATGGGGCCAAGCCTTGTCTGCTCCCATCCGAGGCAGTCTTAGCTACACTCCACCCTGTGCTGCTGCCCAGTAGGGCTGCTTCCACTGCGACTACAGCTTCCCAGGTGCAGCTGAGCTCCTCTTACCTCCAGTGGTGACTCCTCCTCCTGCTCTTGCTGTGCTGCTCTGGGCAGGTAGGAAGCTTCAGATGGGCAGCTGCTGTCCCAGCACATGGGGCTCTGGCTCCTGGCTGCCTTCTACCCACTTGGCTGCCTGTGCCAGGTGGGCAGAGGGGGTGGAAAGCAACTGGGAGCTGGAGCTGGAGCCCTGCACGCTGCCTGAAGTTGCCTGGCTGAAGCTTCCTCCCTTCCCAAAGCAACACAAACAGGAGGATGAGCTGCTTCTGGAGGCAAGGCAAGGGGAGCTGAGCAGCCACACTGGGATCAGCCCCACCAGTAAGCTGTATGTGCTGGAGCAGACCAGGACCATTGGGCTGCCTGCTGTGGCCCCATGAAGAGCACTGCAGAGGCAGTTGTGGGCTGGGTCCAATCAATTGGCAGGCACCCCCACAGGCTGGATCCAGTCAGTTGGCTGGCTGGATTTGGCCTGCGCATGATATTTTGCCCATCCCTACTTTGGAGACATTTTCCTCATGTCCCTGGACTCAAGCAAGGCAGTAGGGTTGCACACAAAGTTATTGTATGTAAAAGAATGACCCTCAGAGAATACTGAAGGTGCATAGTCAGTCAGTCAATTGTCAGCAAAAGCTATAGCTAAGGCTAAAAGTACAATCTTTACTTTGTCCCCTCTCCATTGTTAAGGCTGACCACTGTACTTCACTGGAATGGTCTTTCAAGTTTCTCTTAATAGGAATTTCCTTGGGAATCTGCTTTACTTTTTGGTATGAATAGAAAATACTACTGATAAAGGATTGACATAAATTTGGGTAAAGCAAATAGTTTACTAGTAAGTAAACTTGTTGAATATTGTGGGCTAATTCCTCAATCAGTATAAATGAGCAGAGCTCCATTAACTTAATTGGCTTATAAATATTCATTTGTAAATTTGAAATGAAGTATACTTTTTAAAGTAGAATTGTGTTTCTATGTTGAAACACAAATCACTGTATTGTCTTGCATACCACATGCCCCACTCCTTGGTTTTGGAAGGTGGAATTAAGAAATAAAAACATTTCTTTGAAAACAGCAGTAAGGATTTTTGCAAGAAAACCACATGCAGCTTCAGTGAGGGAAAGTTACAATATGGCTGCCCTGTTAACCCTCTAACTGCAAGACATGGCAGGTGCTGTTGGCTGCCTACCCAGCTTCAGAAAAGGGGCCAGAAAGGGGTGCTGATGTCTGGTGCTGATGGCTGCCCTGTCTTTCTTCTTCAGCTGGGTGGGCAGTCAACTCTAGGAGGGCCCATGTAACTCTAGAAAAGGGGCTGGACCATGTGGCTTTTACATACATTTCCTCCTTTAATACATGCACCCCAAATTCCAGTAGCTATTTTTCAGGAAAGGGGTATGTGTCATATGTGAGTCAATGCAGTGGTTGCATTTTTCATATGGGTTGTCTCTGGAGTCCCCAAATGCAGTAGCAATAATATTTTATCCAAGTGTATGTTCTTTAAATTGTATTGTAGATAGAATTTCTTGTCTTTAAAACTTCTCTCCTTCATTTAAAATAGTTGTAAAAAACCCGAACATAAAGTTTTCTATGTAGCAGCTACTTGAAAGAATTAGAAGCTCCTCCCTCTGTACCAGAGATGACATGTAACAACTCAGGGAACTTACAAGAATTTGTTAGTGTATACAAGCAACTTATATTAGTTTTCTGTTTGCATTAATGAAGACCATATTGTGCATGTAGCTAAATTACCTTTGTGGTTAATTGCCTTATCCCTTGAATTGTACCAAGATGTATTTTCGGGTAGTTAGTTGGTCAAAGCATTTTGAACACAAAGCTTTTTTATAGACAAATTCCTCTTTTTTTGGTAAAATATGTCTTTTCAGAAGATTTTTCTGGAAGCTTTCACTATAATTTGTGATCTTATGGCAGGGGTGGGCAAAATATGGCCCACGAGGCCATTGTATCAAGCCTGCAGGGCCCCTAAAAATGTAGAAAATTAATATTTATCTGCCCTTGGTTCCTGTCATTTTTGCAGTAGGACCCAGGGGAAGCCTGGTGGGCTCCCACAAAGCAGGGGCCTCCCGGGCCCACGCCCCCCTCAGCCGGAAGCCCCAGCTGGGGCTTCTGGCCTGGGAGCACGTGGCTGCTCCATGCCGGAACCGCAGGTAAGGGGGTGGGGGTGGGCAGAAGGACCCTGCCCAGGCAGGGAAGGAGGGCAGGGGGGGAGGAGAAAGTGGCCCCTTGCCTGCCCCGTGGTTGGCACCCTGTGCTGCAGCCACTCATAGCCCATGTGAGGCTGTCCGGAGCAGGCACAGGCAGCCTCAGGTGGGCTGCAAGTGGCTGCAGTGCGGGGTGTTGGGCACAGGGCAGGGGGGGGCCACTTTGCCCCTCCCCATGCTCAGCACCACCTTGTGACACGGCCCCACTGCCAGCCTGGGCCTCGCACCAGCTCCAGGCTCGCCCATTGGGGCTGTGCGTGGTGACAGCAGCTGCAGCCCCGCCCCCCACTTGCCATGCTGGGCAGAGTTTGCCACCACCGCCTCTGGGCTGCCCCGTGCGTGAACCCTAGGTGGGCAGCAGCAGCCAACACTGCTCGGCGCAGCAAGCAGGGGGGCTGCAACTGCCGCCACCGGCGGGCGAGCCCGGAGCCGGTGCAGGGCCCAGGCTGGCAGTGGGGGTGGGTTACAAGCTGGTGCTGAGCGTAGGGAAAAGCGGCTCCTCACTCTCATTCTGCGCTGTAGCCGCTTGCAGCCCACATGGGGCTGCCTGTGCCTGCTTCAGACAGGCCCGCGTGGGCTTTGAGCGGCTGCAGCAGGGAGTGTTGGCCATGGGGCGGGCAAGAGGCTGCTTTTCCCCATGCTCAGCACCAGCTTCTTCCTTGCTGGCAAGCAGGGGGTTGGGGCTGTGCGCTGCCCCCTGCCTGTACCATGGGGCTGGGGGACACTGGGAGTGAGTGGGTGGGGAGCCAGGAGAAGCACAGGGCCTACACCGGTGCCCCAGGGCCAGTGCTGGTGGGGCCCAGATCAGGGTGGCAGGAGCACGGGGTCCCAGCTGGCAAGGGCTCTATAAAGCCAGGCCAGCTCCCCCTTCTCCCTGCTAGTGCAGCCCAGCCTGGCTCCATAGACCCCTGCCAGCCTGCGTCCTGCTTTGGGCCCCACCAGTGCTGGCCCTGGGACATTGGTCCCAAGATGGTGACCAGGGGTGGGACACCTGTCAAGGGGTGAAGCACTCATGAGGCCCTTGACAGCTTGCCAAAACTGGGTAAGTGGCACTCCACCCAAAATAATTGCCCGCCCCTGTCTTATGGGGTTTTACTATTTGACATTTTAATATTTTGGTTTTACCGTTTTGCTTTTTCTATTCTTTTCTTTTGTCCAGTTATTTTTAAAAATTCAATTAAAGATTTTCATAGGCATTCAAGTTATTAAAGAATAGATGTGAGAGACTTAGGGCATCTTTACATGTGCTCCAGCAGCAGAGGGGGGCAGGAGGGGGGTACTTTAATTAGAGTGATTCTTGGAGTGGCTTTCATTGAATGAGCACCCCCACCAACATTTTGAAGTGTGTGGACACTGAATAGCTGAGATGGAGAGGCTGCTGAGGTGCTCTAATTAGCATGTTCCAGCAAACTAAATTAATTGAGTCTGCTGTAATGTGCTATAATTATATAATTATAACACATTAGAGCAGTGGCCCAAGATGTCTACTACAGGTACCTTTAGATACTAACAAATCTCATCTCGAATTTTTTAAAAACACAACTGGAGAAAGGAAATGATAGAAGGCAAAACCAAAAACTGGAAAAAAAAGCAAAGAAATGGAAAAAACTAAAAAATGGGAAAAACAGGCCCTTTCGAAAACCCATAAATCAAAACCAGTTGCAACATTTGTTTTCAAGGTTGGGGGTTCCTTTTGTGTTTTTAAAATATTTAAAACAGTTCTACTACTAGTTGAAAGGGAAAGAGACATAGCTACTACTAAATTATTACAACATCAGTCTTAGAGAGTAGAACATTTTATTACAAAGCTTAAAGACCATATTTTACACAGATTTCAATGAGTTCAGCATTACCTAAGAGAAGAGAGGCAGGTTGATTTATATCAGCAGACAGCACAGGCCTACATTTATAAGGAAAAGCTGTACCATTACAAGAATGAAAGTGTCCAGTGA